GCCCAAACGAGGCCTCGTCCCACGGGGAACCTTCTCGAGAGCAGATTGGAGACCTTCTGGCGCTGGAGCTCAGACTCTCAGTCTCGCCCTGTGAGACATTCTATAGTTGAATTTTCAAGTATGAAGTGTTGGATTCTTTCGATCATGATTTTTCTCTTTTTTTTCCTAAATAAAAATCCAAAAATGTATTCCTGTCTTTTGTTTTGTTTGTCTATTTAAATTCTGTTTACAAACTCACCAAACAACATTAATGGTCAATAACTTACATTTTTTGAAAGCCATCTGTTTTCTGAAAAAAATGACACCTTGCACTTGAAAATAGCACATTCTGTTAGAATTTTACAGTGAAATAAATAAAATCTGTGAATATGACCTATTTGACCCTCAGGTCTTTAAGGGTTAAACAAGACGTACCGCTGCTGCTGTGGAAATCAGCGGGTCCGATCCATTTGAAGACAGGTTTACGACTCTTTTCCTCTCGTACTTGAAGTTTCTTGATCAGATTCAGGCTGGTCAGGACATTAGCGATATCATACAAACGTCGCACCTTAGCTAAACAAACACAAAAAAGATTGTGAGCTACTCTTAATCAATAACGGAATGCATATTATTTTTAACATTAAAATTGTCTTACTTTTATACTTGCTGTGGCTGGACTCATCCTGGCCCTCTTCGATCAAAATCTTAGCAGCCGTATCGAGGGTAACGGTCCGTGTTTTGGACACCAGAAACAGCATGACAAACTTCTGGCTCATGATACGAAGCGATTTATCCTTTCGTCTGCTGGAGGCCGCTGTATGAGAGAGATAAACCATGCTTACAACACTGTAAAACATGTCAAAGTTGGCATTCCAGGCATTAATGCATTTGTCTTTAAAATAAAGGTTTTTGGAAAATCATACAGCAACTTAAGAAAGAGTACAACAAATTTTTTTTTGGTAAGTCGAGGAATTATGCTTTTTCAGTTTTAACAATTGTGGCGTTAGGGCTGGGCGATTTTTCTGATTTTATCGATTAATTCGAATTTAATGTTTTGACATTATCATATCGCTAAGAACTTCTTTTAACTTGAGCGCCGCATTTTTACAATGCCGTTTCATGCATGAGACCCGAGTGCAACAGTCAAACACGTCCATGTTTACACAGAAAAAAAAGAGGAAAATCAGCGCAAGCTAATAAAAAACCTGTAACTACTACTGTATGTCTGATATTTCACAACAAATTTTTTTTTGGTAAGTCGAGGAATTATGCTTTTTCAGTTTTAACAATTGTGGCGTTAGGGCTGGGCGATTTTTCTGATTTTATCGATTAATTCGAATTTAATGTTTTGACATTATCATATCGCTAAGAACTTCTTTTAACTTGAGCGCCGCATTTTTACAATGCCGTTTCATGCATGAGACCCGAGTGCAACAGTCAAACACGTCCATGTTTACACAGATAAATAAAAGACCTGTAACTACTACTGTATGTCTGATATTTCATGTTTGCATCATTGTTCATTGTTTTTACAGAACATTTACAGTTAATAATACTGCTGCTATACCTACAGTCATTTTGAATACGAATTACATTGACAATCTCGATTAATTCGAATTTAATGTTTTGACATTATCATATCGCTAAGAACTTCTTTTAACTTGAGCGCCGCATTTTTACAATGCCGTTTCATGCATGAGACCCGAGTGCAACAGTCAAACACGTCCATGTTTACACAGAAAAAAAAGAGGAAAATCAGCGCAAGCTAATAAAAAACCTGTAACTACTACTGTATGTCTGATATTTCATGTTTGCATCATTGTTTTTACAGAACATTTACAGTTAATAATACTGCTGCTATACCTTCAGTCATTTTGAATACGAATTACATTGACAATCTTGAGATTTATTTGAAAGCATTTTCCTCGTATTATTTCTGAACATATAATATGTATAAGATGTAGTTCATGCATCTTTTCTGATATTTAACAAGTGATTTGTTTAACATTTACATCATGTTGACAACTTCATGTGTGCTGCACTTAGAATAAATTTGTCTTTAACTAGATTGTTAACAAAGAAAAAGTTATGCTACTTGAATCATGTTGTAGTTACAATACAATTTCAAGTTGACTAGTTAAAAATCATTTTAAAAATCGAGAATCGGTCAAACGTTCTGAAAAACAAAAAATTTGAGATTAAATTTTTTTGCCATATTGCCCAGCCCCATGTGGCATAAAAAAGACAATGGAAGACATGAATAAAGGATGAGTGAATACACTGGCAGCAGATAATCAGAGTTAGTGGATATGAGGAATGGAATGATTGCTCGGTGAATTGGCTGGTCGAGTGATTCCTGCCCTCATGACGGGACGGTAATAAGCTTTTGTTAGAAAGGAAAGCTGTTGCTTGGCGACAGCGGCCACATGGGACAAGAAGCCAGCAAACACAATAACCACATCAGACGATCCAGACGAGGACAGCAGGACGCTTCATTTCTTTATCAAGACATCAAACTCAGGAAACACAAAGAGATTCATTTAAATGCTCAAATCTAGAGAAATTAAATACTTGGCTACTGAGCAAACAAACATACAAGAAGATATAGATCTGAGACATGTGAGTGTATTAAAATCTGTCTAATAGCTGATCTACCTGTTAAAGTTCTGTCTAATAGACCCTTTTTCTGTTAGTAAACATTGTGACGTTTTTCTGTGGGCGGAGCTTAGGTGGAGGCAGAAAGATTCCCCTGACCGCGTCACTAAAGCTAGTTATGAAGTTTGTTAGCTTGTTCTTTTAACAATGACTGGAGAACATCCGATTTTACCTGCACATGTAAGGTCACTCACTGTCTGGGACCGCGATTGTTATTTGAAAAGGTTAACTTTATCGGCCGACCCTACACGCTCACTCAAAGCTTGGACGATCTGACAGGATTAACGTTACCGGTTGAGTGACTCACATCTAACTATCTAGTCATGAAGATGTATATACATTTCAATTTCAGCAGGCAACTATTTTTACAGCTACATTATTCCAGCCACAATTAATCACAACAATGTATATACAATTACAAATGATTAAACATAAATCGTCAGTTTGTTGTTTTACACACATGCACACACATTATTTCATACACGACATAGTCATGAAATGCATAAGAAATCTTTAGACGCCCCCATAACAACAAAAGGCCACACTTTATTGAACCTTTTCTGATAAGAAGTGTGCGCTGCAAACGCGAGCATTTTTGACGATTGTTTCTGTCTAGTCCGCTCGTTTTAACCACAGCTGTTGTCGGTTTTTTATCTGGCAGTGGCAGCAGGTATGCGATACAATTTCTAATTTGAGGCTGTATTATGTCAATTCTGGCACCCAACATCACAACAAGATGATATTTTAAGCTCCTTATGTAGCTGAATCTGTGCTGGTTTGAATGGGCCACCTCCAGTTTCCCCTTCGGCCACCCTGCTTTACAAGATATCGGCATCGGCAGTCAAAAAACCGATATCGATCGACCACTAATAACGAATACTTCAAAAAAGTATGAACAGGAATATTTTAGTGTCATACCGTGTGTGTTTTGCATGTGGTGGGCGGCACACGGGCTGCTTCCTTCTCTCTGGTCCATCTGCAGATGGTAGCCCTGCTCACGACCCGCCTGATGGAGATCCTGCAGGGTCAGTGGCAGAGCTGAGCGTCCGTGCCACACATACAGGTTCTTAGCCATTCTGCTCACCAGCATCACAGACTCCAGCACGTTCACAATGTCGTAGATACGCCGCCTCTCAACGCCTGCGTCACAGAGACAGTCACTACTTGTGGACATTTTGCAATTTTTAATTAACAGTAGGGCTGTGCAATTAATCGCATGCGATTGTCATGCGCATCTCGTCAGTAAAGCCGCTTCTGTGATTAGTAGTATATCTCCATCACCTGCTTTCAGACAGAGCGGCATTTAATACACAGAGCCGTAGTTCACTGACAAGCTAGGCGACATCGCGTTCATAATTGAATGCGATTCATCTGCGATTATGAACGCGATATTGCCTAATTGTCAGTGAACTACGGCTCTGTGTAGTGCATGCCGCTCCATCTGAAAGCAGGTGATGGAGATTTACCACTAATCACAGAACCGGCTTTACTGACGAGATGCGCATGACAATCGCATGCGATTAATTGCACAGCCCTAATTAACAGTATTTTTTAGTTTGGCCGATGTGGGAAGCACTTCTATTTTGATGCCTTACAGGACTTTTATTTTGTGCATGAGAACTGTTAAAGAAAGTAAACAGCATATGAAAAAATATCATAGCGTTTGCTTTTCTATTATTAGTAATAGATTGGTATACACTATAATACTTTCTCATCTACCGTCAGCATTCAGCAAACACATTTATTTGTAAAAAATACTATAATTGATTACAGAATCAAGAAGTTGCCATCTGAAGTATAAATTTGTTTATTTTACCAGATTTATTTGATCAAGTTCAGGTTATTTTTCCATATAATTCATTCGCTGTTTTCATTAGTTTAATGTGTTTAACAGTTCTGTCTAATAATTATTATACAGAACTGTTATAGAAAGAAAGCAAACTGTATACAAAAAAAGTGTTTGCTTTTCTATTATTACTATAATACTTTCTTATCTACCGTCAGCATTCAGCAAGCACGCATTTATTTATAAAAATACTATAATAGGATTACAGAATCAAGTTGCCATTTGAAGTAAAAATCTGTTTATTCTAATTATTTTATCATGCACTTCACTTTCAAATAATTTATTTCTAATTTCTAAAATTCTATGTAAATATATATAATTTTAGCAATTGTTATGCATGTTTTTACTATCTTTAAACCAAATAGTGTGATATCATAAAACTCATCTCTTTAAACACTACTTGACTTCATCTTAAAAAAAAATTATCTTTATTTATTCCTTCCCTTTTCTAGCTTGTACTAATTTGAACAATGCCTAAAACTTGGTATTTCAAGCCCCTCCTGTGTCTGTTTGCCTCTTTAAGAAGAACCGCTTTATGTATTCCCCAATTGTAAGTTGCTTTGGATAAAAGCGTCGGCAAAATGACTAAATGTAAATGTAAACATATATATATATATATTTTTTTTTTGCCATATCAAACCACTAGTCATTATATTACATTAGTATTTTATACAGAAATAAGGGATTTGATTATGATTAGGAGTTAGTTTCTCGTACCCAAGCATGTGGCCACCTCATCCAGAGAAATATTGATGCTTTCAGAGGTTTCTGGGTAATCAGGGTACAAGGCCAGAAATTTCTGACACAAAAGCCCCAAACTCTTCTGTTTCCGGCTGGGTCTCCTCTCAGAATCCTCTACCGCTTCATACTGCAATAAAGAGAGATAAAACCAGCTAAAACTATTGAACATATTAAGATACTGAACATATTTAAGATGAAATGCATGTTCTAATCTGCTGTTTCTAAGTTTCCAAACATTACACTGATTTAGACTTCTTCTTTTGATACCTGACACGAGTCGTCGAGTTCTTCCTCTTCATCCTCCTCTATAGCCTTCTCTTCATTTTCAATGGGTCTGAAGAGGGTTTTCTTCATCTCTCTGTCGCGGATATCTGGGCTGGCGGCGCTGATCAGCATTTTCAGGTTGGCTGTTGGGGTCCAGGGGTCCGGATGGACCCTCTCTGTGTGTTTGATGGGGGTTATATGGGTGATATCTGGGCTGGAAACTCTCCTATGTCCCTTCACAGACTCACACTTCAGTGGGGTCATTTTCCTTCTGTCCATGCAGATGTTCTCCTGAAATCAGGCTGTTCGTTAGACATCAAATGAGGCAGGGGATGCATTGTCATATAATAATGCTTTATTACATTTAGATCTCTTACTTTTTGGTCATTCATGTTGCCAGTATCACCTGAGCCTGTCTTATTCACTAGCGTCCTCACACTAAGCAAATCCTTTAAAGTTAAACACTTCATCTCCATCTAAAAAAAGAACAATGAATCAGTCATAACCAATACATGTAAGCAATCAGTAAATTAGTTTATTACCGAATTATGTTATTATACATATGAATGATACTGTTAAACTTCTGCATTGTTAACATATAATACCAAAAATGTTACGTTATATAGTATATATATATGCATAAATTACATATCTGAATATAAATAAACTGATGTGTAAAGTATTAATGTGATGTTTGGTACTAATTAAGTTATTATAACATGTTGCCAAAAGTTATTCAAATACTTCTAGTAAAAAACACTGCGTTATTATCTTGGGTATTATATTACATAATATTACACGGTATGAAGTAAGAATCATGACTTATGATCACGTTCTTAAAAAGTGATCTGAGATCTGATGATGGTGGAAAGATTTTGGCGCAAATATCTTCACCGGTTGCCTGGTAACTTAACCAGATTCTCAGAATAAAAAATATGATGATTCAACTTTTGAAGTAATGGTCATTTATATTGATATGATTGTCACAATATTTTTTTTGCACTATATTGTAGGAGCCCAGCAGCATGCTTATGATATTAAAAGTCCTTCTAAATAAAAATCCTCTGTTTTTCTGATTATTTGAATACTGGTAAAATGTCTGTGAAAGTCAAACTTGAGTTTAAGGAGATTAATTTACATTATAATTTTTTTATATTAGATCATGCAAGTCAGATTAACCTTATATTCTTACCTTAAAGTTCCGTCCCTGGAATAGAAAAATCCTAAAGACGTAAATAAATCCTTTGCAAAGGTGATTGGTCCTTTTCCTCCTTAAATGAACATAATTTTCTCTCTAAATAAGAAGATCTGAACTAGTAATCTTCTTATTTCGGTCGTACGGATGGTCAGGCGAGTAAGAATCACCCGCTAAAGCTTGTTTTCTGGCGCTCTGAAGAGTTACACCCTCCCTCAGCCAATCACGTCGCCGCTATGCAAATATATCGACGGTGATTGGCCGAGCTAGGAGGAAATGCCGCAGAGCGACCGTCGTAGCCAATCAGCGTCGCGTTCTGACCAAGCCGTTGGGGGTTTGTTGGCGGGGCGGTAGGCGCGCTCTTCATTGATGTGCTTCTGCGGTTATTACAGGCGCGACTGAAGTTTTAAAGGCGCCGGGACATAATTAATCATCACAGGTGATTAATTGACATTAAATAATTGCCGAGTGTCTCCTGACAGATTTTAATGACAAGCTCAGGCAGGAACAAAGGTGAGTGACACAGGTGGGGTTTTGGCGCGACTGAGGGTTTTGTCGCGGGAAATAGTGTAATATGAGAAGATACCCCACACCCACAAACTACCCCCACATGAGCATACTTTCAATGTCATAACCACAGAAATCGAATAATATATCTAATAATAGGATGTATCTAACTAATGAACCTGTATAAACCAAATAAAACCGATATGTAACAAATCATTACAGTTCAAATGTCATAAAACACACATATATGCATGTATGCACACACATTATTGCTTAAAACGAAACTAGAAAACTAAATATGTAAAACAACTATGTAAAATCATATCAATATCATATAGCATTCATTCATATAGTGTATGTGTTTTCACTTAAGTTTGTTGCATTTCCCTCTTAATGCACTCTGTTTAATGATTTATATTGTGTTGTATGTTTTAAAAGCTATCATATTATTGCTTTTTATTATTTCAGTTTTCAAGCCTCTTTTATCTATATTCGAGGTCTTCATCCTCTGACTGCTTTTGTGAGATCTGAAATACCATAAGATGCTGGGTAAGACTTCATTTCCATTTTACATAGATTTTATTCATCCTAAAATAGCTGTATGTAAAATATCTTGGGTTTGTTTGGGTGCACGTTACATCATCTTTAATGTCATTTATATGTCATGATCAGTTATTTATATGAGACCAAATATGCACTGGTGCACTATGGCAATGTGAAATATTTCAGATTAACGGTCTGTCTGAGAAGCACACACAAAATTAATTTAATTTTTCAAGGAGCGGTTAGTCAAGTGGATGAATCACATTTGCACGATTATGCAAAACTGGAGAGAAAGAGAAGTTGAATTAATGTTTTAGAGCAGCATATTACTGGCAAGCTCACAGACGGCCCAAATTAAACAATAAAATCTGGGATTGTGCCATTTAGGTCAAATAAAACAGTGTCAAAAGAGTGTAAGGTGGATGGAGATAGACATGAAAAGAGGATCTCTCGTCTCTGAAGATTGGCTGAAGTGGCCCCAGGTGGCAAAGGAAAGACTTTGAGGATTCACAGACAGGAAGAAGAACTGAACCAGAACCAGAACCAGAGCCAAATATTAAGAGGCAGCCTAATATTCACCAGGCCTACAGTAATACAGCTAACAGCCTGTTATGTACTATTATTAAACAATGCTACGACTCTCAACTATTACTTAAAGGGGTCATATGATGCTTTTTT